CAGATTCCCATCCCTGGAGGCCCGCAGGCCCACTAAAAGTTCACGCTGAAGACATCTCCTCCGCCCATCCCCCCACCGCCCCGCCCCACCCTGGCTAGAGGAAAGGAGAGGGGGAGCGCCGCTCTTCTCGAGCAGCGCGCGGCCCTCCGCCTCCGCTCGTGCAAGTGTGACGGCGGGAGCGGGCGCCTCCCACCAGGCAGGCCAGGGCTGGCCTGTCGTGCATCGCACCAGCGGCAGCCTGCGCGAGGCCACCTCACTCATGTGCGCGGCGGCCCTCCTCCAAGTCTCGAGCGTCGAGAGGGCCGAGCGCATGAGGGGCGCCGCCAGGAGGTCGGACGTGGGCACACACCTGGGGCCCCCCAGCGCCTCGAGGTCGAAGAACGTGTTTTTCTTGAAGAGGCTTCCCGAACACCTCGCCAGCCGGCACAGCAGGAAGCGCTCATCCTCAATCAGCTCCGATGGCATCGGCCAGAGCTGCGCCTTGTAGGCCAGGACGGGCTGGCACTGTCGGCTGCACTCAAAGAAGACAGCCGTCATGTCCAGTGGCGAGGCCGCGAGTGCCAGGACCCTCTCACGCAGGCGCGCAAGCGGCGCAGCCCACTGGGCCGCCAGCGAGGCACCAGGGCCCACGAGGCACCCCAGCAACTCCACCGACGAGGCCACGGTGAAGGAGCCCCACCCGCAGGCCTCATCCAGGCACTTCCTCATCACGTCCTCCACCTCCGCCGAGAACGGGGCCCAGAGCGGGGCGGCCGCGCACTTCTTGGGCTGGAGCTGGAGGCCAGCGAGTCGCTCAGCAAGGCGGAAGATCCTCGCAAGGGTGCGGAGCCCCCGCTTGCAGTAGATCAGGGCCTGGATGTCGTCAGCACACCAGCGGGTCATGCCGAGAGCCTTGGCCTCCAGCTGCTGCAGGTGCGCCTCCACAAACGGCTGCGCGCCGATCGCGAACATCGTCCCAGAGAGCGGGTCCCCCTGCAGGATCCCGCACAGGATGACAAAGAGGACCCAGTGGCAGGGCCCCGCCTCCACGACCTCGACTTTAGCGCAGGGCTCCTTCAGCAGGTGCCCCAGGCCGAGCGGCACCGCCCACGCCTCCAGCACCCGCCGCATCCAGTCGTGGAGGAGCGACGGGAAGGCGTGAGCGAAGTCGAAGCTCAGGAGGGTCGGCTCCTCCCAGCCGCGAGCATGCTCCAACGCGCACATGGAGGCGACGCGGGACATGGCGTCGAGCTCCACCAGGTTCTCCAGGAAGTTCCTCCCCGCGATGAAGCCACGCTGCGCCTTTGAAGCGCCGCGGTCTATCATGCTCTTCAGCCTGAAGTTCACCGCGGAGGCGATGGCCTTGGGGCCCGTGGAGCGCAGCATGAGCGGGCGGGTCTCGTTCGGCTTCCTGATAACCTCCATACCGTCACCATCCAGCACCTTCTTCGGCGGGAAGATGGCGATGCTCATGTTGAACTCCCTACGCACGGGGCGGCCCAGGGTCATCCATCTCATAGCCGCGAGGCGAGGGGCACCTCACAGCCCGCCGAGTGCATCAGCCACGCCTTCGCAGGCAGGCCATCAACCCCAGGTGCAGCAGGCCGCGCACGTCGCAGGGCCTCCTCGATGTGCATAGTCGAGGGAGGCGCCAGAGAGCTCCAGTCAACCTCATTCATGCCATACTCCGCGATGAAGGCCTTGGAGTCACGCTCCCGACGGCGGTGCTCCGATGAGGCGCCCATCCGCTGCCAGGCACGCAGCGCGTGCAGGGGGGCAGAAGACCTCGCCCCAGTGGTTCGCCAGCGTCTCGTGGATCTCGGCAGGCGAGGTGAGCAGCCTGCCGTCAGGGGCTTCCACGGCCGCAAGATGCCGCCGCGGGGGGACCGACCAAAGAGCGGCGCGACGCTCCAGGGCACGACGCTGACCTAGTAGCCGACGGCGATCAGAGACACGAAGTTGCTCTTCGTCAGCTTCAAGCTCCGCCCGGAGCTCGGCACGCCTGGCCCTGGCCACACGCCGCTGCGCCAGAACGAAGCGCCTGAGGAACTCCGCATGGTTCTTCAGCATCACCACGCCCTTCATCACGTCAACAGTCATCAGCTCATCCAGCCACGGGTGGCGGACGAGGAGCCGCTCAGCCAACGATGCGTGTTGGCGCGCCACCACCCTTGCCACTTGCCTGAAGATCAGAGCCGTGCACCTCTTCGACCATGCCATGCCCTGCAGCTGCGCGTCCCTAGTCTCAGCCGCGGCCGCCTGCATGGCTCTCACATGCACCTGGTGCATGTCGGGCGGGGCGCGCGCCGACAGGTCCAGCACCTCCACGTACTGGGCCAGCTTCTCGTTGAACATGGGAGAGTTCACGATGTCCTGGGGGATCGGGGCAGGCCTGAGCGGGTCGCGGGGACGGAGAGGGCGCCACATCCATGAGATCAGGACAGGCGCGTGGTCGCTGATGTCCCTCCTGTGCAGCTCCTCAGGTTCACAGAGTACCTCGCACTGTTGGTAGCGCTGGGCCACCAGCCAGGACGGCACTCCCAGGAAGACTCGATCGATCCTGGTCTCAAGCTGGCGGCCAGGATGCCAATGGGTCGCGCACGGTGCCACCATCTCCACAGCATCACTCAAGCAGCGCTGCCAGCGTTGCCCTTGCGGGTGCCGAGCAGCAGCAACAGGGCGGGCAGGAGCGTCATCGCCAAAATGGCAGTGCTCCAGCCTGTCCCCGAAGTTGAAGTCACCCACAACGAGTACAGCCGCCTTGACGGGATCCATCTTGGCCTCAAGAAGGTCGGCCGAGATCAATGCCTGGACCCGTCGTTGCACTCCGCAGTCCAGACCATGGTTGTGAATGTTCCAGTGCGTGAGCGTGCATGGCCTCCCCATGTCATCACTGAAATTGGCACGGATACGCATAACCCTGCCAGGCACCAGTATAGACGATTCCCACACCACGCTCTCATCATCATCAGCCCTACGCATAGGGAAAAGAGTGGCCAGCCCTCCAGTATCTTCGCGCTCTCCCTCACAGAACGAGGAAAATACTCGGGCTCGAATACCCGCAAATTTGAGCAGCTCAGTCAGACGGATGTGCGAGCCATGCACCTCCTGCAACCCCAAAATGACCGAGTCGCGTTTCCAAAACTTGGCAAGGAACTTCGCCCTCGCCTTCGCCGTAGCAGCAGCACGCGGACCAACAGGGACGTCACGTCCGTGCCCCAGGCCAACTCCCGCTTCACCCCCATCTCCGTCTCGACATAGCCCTCCCCCGTTCACCGCTTCGCCCTCATCCCTCCGCCGTCGGCCCCAGCGTGCTGCCGCCTTGTCAAAGGCACCACTCCGCCGTCGACGGGGCCAGGATGGGCGCCACGATCTGCTCCAGCTGCTCACGAGGAAGTTGATGTTGGCGGAGGACGGCAGCATTCCACTGGACAACCGGTGGAGAGCCAGGGCCTTCGATCGCAATCTTGACCAGGGGCTGCCACGCCATGGAGAGGGTTCCCTCCAGCTGGTCGGGGCCAACAGGGTCGACGAAGATGCGCTTCGAGAGACCCTCCTCGAGCACCCGACGCATCTTCTTGAGCGTGATCTCGTATGACACCTGGCGGGAATTCTTGTCCTTGCTGAGGGACAGCGGCGCCGTGTGGCCAGTCGGTGTCGAGGCAGCGACTTGACGCCACGTGCCTCCAGGTCCTCCACCACGCAATGTGGACACCAGCTTGCGCACCCTACGTTCAGCCAGTCCCACGTCACCCTCCATCGTGACCACGAAGCGCTGGCCCAAGTCGTCGCCCTCGACCTTCGCGACCTCCGAGAGCTGCGCGTCCGCCAGAACTGGGGCCATGGCGCGCTCCACCGCCGCGCGCATGAGCGGGGCCTTGCTGGTGACGACCATGACCGCACGGTCGATCGTCCTGCTCCAGGCAGGCCCAGCTTCAGGCGGGGGAGGAACGCCCGCCGCGACCACTCCGAGCTCCCGCTGGAGCTGCGCCAGGTCCGCCGTGCGCTTCGCCATGATTCTGTCCGTCTCCTTCTGCCTCCTGCGCATCTCGTCCTCGAGCCTCCTGATGTCCTCCTCCTGCTGCTGCTGAATGCGCTCGACCTTCCCCTGCCTGCTCTCAAGAAGCGCCGTGCGGCGCTCGAGAGCCCTCTGGATGCCGTCGAGGCTCTTGTCCATGTTCTGAAGGAGGCGCTCCTGGTTGGAACGCACCTCTGCAAAGAGCGTGTCCCGCAGGAGGGCAATGGCCGCCGCGGCCTCAGGTGGCGCACCGCCAAGCCCAGCATGGTCCTCCCCCAGGACAGGCGTGGCCATGCCGCCCACGGGAGTGCAGGGGGCCACCCGCTGTGCACCGTGTCCCGCGTGGGCAGCATCAAGGCCAGCAGCAGCGGCCGCCCACGGGTCGTGCGGGGCCGCCGCAGGCTGCGAGGGGAGCGTTGGGCAGGCCGCCTCCGCCTCCAGGAAGGCCGCCTCCTCAGCCTTGAACGCAGCCAGGGCCGCCCTCTTGGCTTCCTCACGCTCTGCCTCCACATCTCGAGCACGATCACGGGACTGGCGCCCACTGCGCCTGCGGCGGCGCCGCTCTCCACTCCTGGACTTCTCACGAGAAGATGAGGAGGAGCCGCCAGAGGAGGGCGCACGGCCAGCAGCACCAGTAGCACAGCCATCGCCCACATGCGCACCATCCCGCGCAGGGCCCATGGCGTCGAAGCTGGAAGCGTTCGGGCCGACAGGAACGGGAAAGGCCTCCGTTTACCCACCGACCTGAGCGCTGGTGCGGTGGGTCCGAGATGACGCCAGACTTCAGGAAGTCTTGCCCGCCGCGGACTAGCGGTATCCGCTTGGTTCCCTGGGGAAACCTGCATCTTGAGCCAAAATGGCTACGGAGGGGGAGGAGGAGGAGGAGGAGGAGGAGGAGGAGGAGGAGGAGGAGGAGGAGGAGGAGGAGAGGAGGAGGAGGAGGAGGAGGAGGAGGAGGGAGGAGGAGGAGGAGGAGGAGAGGAGGAGGAGGGGGAGCGGCCGCCTGCGCCCGCACCAGGTCCGGCTCGTAGCCGTCCGGGCGCATGAGCTGCCAGCAGTAGAGCGTGGGGAAGCCGGGCAGCTGGGGCGCCCAGCTGCGGGTGCCCAGCTGCAGGCACTTGTCCTGTCTCCATGAGGGAGGATCGGGCCGGGCGAAAGGGGGGGATAGCAAAGAGGGGGGGGGTGAGAATCGGCTCACGCAGCTGATCTTCCTGGCGCCTCCCGGCGCCGGAGGCTGCTATGTATCGAGGAATGGGCCCCTCGGTGGGGCCGAAGCCAGCTGCATGCAGCAGACTTCGTAACCCCCCCTTTCCCAATCCCCCCCCTTCGCCCGGCCCGAGAGGAGGGGGAGGAAGCAGGAGGACGGCCTCAGGGTCCTCATACTTTTTCCGCCTCTCTCCTACCCTTGCAGTTTCTGCCGGGCCCGCCAGTCTTCATGAGTTCGCTCTCGGCCCAAGTCGGCTGACACACCCACCACGGAACGATCTCGGATCCATGTCCGTAAAACGTCAAAAAGGAAGCAGGAGGAAGTTTGCCTGGCGGTCGACCGCTGGTCCAATTTACTCCCTGCTTCTTGTTGACTCGCCGGAGGCCCCATCGGGGAGCCTAAGAAGCAGCCCCCGACGCCGAGGGCATTTCATCTTGGCACACCCCTCACGCACGTCGTGCCTGATGGCGTCGACAAAGGCCAGGAGAAACAGACTCGGGATGAAGAGCCAGTTCTGGGGAAGGGCACCTCCCGTGGGAAAAACGACGACGTCGGGGGGCAATGGGGATGGGATGAAGATCGAGGATCGAGGGCCGAGGCTCTCGTCTGCCTCTCACTCTCAGGGCTCTCTCGACGCTGCATGTTGCCGCATCCGCCTCGAAGGGTTGGGCGGAACGTGTTTGAGGGGGCCCTGGGACACACAAATAAATACGCACAAATAACAGGATTCCCCATATTTTCTATTTTTTTCCAGATTTTCGTCTTCCCCCCCACTTCCCATATTTCCGCCTATTTTCTGGGAAATCGAGGATTCATTGTGCTGTGTGTTTCTTTCCCTCCTGAGTGTTGCGGGGCAGTGCGAGGGGCCCCGCTTTGAGTGGAGAGGAGGAACAGGGGGAGGAGGGTTACATTAAGAGGTATCTCTTGGGAAGACTTCGCAAGACGGATTGAAAGCCACGAGTCCAGATTAGGGCGCCACTCAGCCGAATCAGCCCGGAATCGACCTATGATTAGTCGACTAAGCCAAATTAGGCGGGATTGAACAACATTAAACGGGATCATGCCGGATTGGGACTATTTTTGACCTCGATACACCAGCGCAGATGCTGAAATTACCTCCTTGGAATCGCATCCTGAGCTACGCGTTCGACCACAGACCCCTTGTTACCCATCGGTCATTCTCGGACGGGGTGCAGCCGTACTTGCAACTTGCCCAATACTCGTTCGACTGGTAGCACTTGTGTCCCGGATTCTTGCAGCACTGAGAATTCAGGCAGCTGTCTCCCCCGCCCTCCACGCACGCGTCACAATTCAGCTCCGCCTTGGAGCTGGCAGTGACTTCGGCGACGACCGGCTGCCGATTGTGATGTACGATATGAATGTACCCCGGCTTGCCGCTGTCCTCATCTGTCAGCTTGAGCCACTGCTGATGGTCGCTGCTACTTATGGGATAGCCACTTCTGACGTCACACTTCCACACCAGGCCGAGTGGGGTCGTCTCGTTGTTCGGCTTTGGGTAGACCATGAGATGGCCTGGGTGGTTGATCTGCCACAGCACGCTCATGCAGGGTTCGTCGTCTGCGCAAGGCGTGCAGTCGACGTCCGTGTCCTCACTGACTTACCATTTGCGCACTGTTCCTTTCTCGTCTAATTTGTATGATTCTCGGATCCTGCTCGTGACCCTGCTCCCGGTCCTCCCCGTCAACGTGTACTCTTCCCCCTCTCCTCCTCGTCATCATCAGCCTCCCGTCAAGCCGTTACAGGGCATAATCTTCGTCAGAAGGGGGAGTGGGTACCGAATCACCTTTTCGATCGATGCCGAGCGTTACAAAGAGGGCCGCACCGACCCCAGCTCGCAGTGCAGAGAGAGCCTCCCCCTCACTACCAGCCCACGTACCCTACCCATGCGCCTTCCCTATCCCGTCCCATTATAATTCCCTCGCCCGTCTCTTCCCCATCTGCACCCAGATCTCATCCCCCCAACTTCGCCCATCCCCTCCCCCCTACCTCCTCCACGACACCCAATCTATCCCGGCCGCGATTCGCCGAACCCACAACCTGCGCCAATCTCCTCTTGGCCGCCACCAGCTCTGAGAAGTTCCGCCCCGACGTATCTTCCGCTAGCATGGAGGATCCATTGAAGACCATCGGAGAGTAGCCGACGACGCCCCCCGTGCCGTTGTAAACCTCTAGCCAGTCACCTACCCGTCGCCCACGTAACAGGTCACACTTCCAATGCACCTGCATAACGGGGACATCAGGTTTAGGGAACTTGCTCACATTGACAGCTCCGTCAAAGATGACACGCCAAGTACTCAGATTCAACGTGGTGGTTGTAGTAGTAGTGGTGGTGATAGCCGGCTTTGTCGTACTGCTGCTCTTGCTCGGAGAAGCGTGGGCAAGGACTGGCACTTCCATTTGCCTCTCCGCGCCCTGGACCTTTCAGGCGGAGTCAAACCAAAGTGTGAATGCGAGTACGAGTGGGGATAGGACTCAAAGGACAACAAAAACATGTTTCTCAGCGCGTGGGATTAGAGAGCCCAACCAATGGATACTTGCACTTTCGATGGACGCTCCATGGGGCGCAGTCTGTATGATAGAATATATGCGGCACAATATCTGTAGTGCACTCTATGGGGTGATATCTGCGCTGCGCGAGCAATGTGGTGCAAGCTAGACGGTGAAAGCCGTGGGGTGCAACCTACGCGCCGCAATACATTGTTATATCCTCTTAGTGTTGGAATCGGCACCTCCACTGCTCGCGCAAACATCCCACCCACCCACCCGAAACTTGTTGGCATATCTCAAACTGGCTGGTCGGCGAAAACGACGATGGCGATTACGGTGGTGACGTTGATGACGACGGTGAGGGCCATGTCGGCGAACGCGATGGCTATGGTAATGAAGCTGACGGTGAGGAAAAAATCGAAGCAACGATGACGCGGGCAACGATGACGACGATAGTCCTGGTGACTGCAACGCCCACACGTATTGCAACATAGATTGCAACGCTCATCCTGCACCACATAGCTTACACCACGCAGCTTTCACCCCAGATATTCTCCTACATTTTTTAAAACAGAGAGAGAACAACAAGGGATTTGGACCGACCTCCCCCCCTCGGACGTAACGGCCACCACTTCGTATTGCAATGTGCACATGGTTCTGCCCCGTCGCCCATCCAAAAAACACATGAGCTCGTACCAGCCCGGCCAGGCCGGTATCGACCCCCGCCCTCCTCCTCTGCCCCAAAAAGTCTGCGCGCGCACTCGTCGATCAAAATCCAGCAGCTTTCAGAAATCCCCTGCACATCCAACGAAGCACAGCCGCGCGCGTTGTCGCGCGCGCTTCCCGAACTCCTTCAAACCTTAGATGCGGTAAGGGTTTCAAAACCGAGAGCCCCGAACACATGTCACAAACCATGGCTTCGCAACAAAAGTATCCAAAACAATTGCGCCCGCGCTCCTGCGAAAGGTTGCGGAAACCATGGGTGTTCAACACGCTCATTAACGTACTATCAAACGAACCTCTCGCGCGCGCATGTCGAAACCGTTCGAAAGCCCTTGCGCGCGTGCTGTCGCAAGAACCCCTTGCAACAAACAGGACGAAGTGCACCGCATGCCGAAACCCTTCGGAAACAGTGGGTGTCGTAAGGATTTGCTGTTTTAAAAGAGTGCCCCGAACAAAAACAACAACACATCAAACCACATGGTTCGGCAGCATCAGTGTTCAAAAAACTGCGTTGGCTGTCTTGCGGGCTCTTTAAGAAAAACCATCGGCTTCAACATGTTCAGCTAATTCTGCCCAACGGGCCTCTCGCGCCGCATGTCGAGCTCATTCGAACGCCCTTGCGCGCGTGCTGGTGGGGGGGGTCACGGTCCGCGTCAAACAATACCACGCGGGCCACTGAGGCGCGTCGGCCGCGCGCGCATGTCGAACTCCTTCAGAAACCTGCATCGCCGACGCGAGGACATCGTCATCGTTATCGGCGCGCGTGATCTACATCAGTGCCGTCATTGGCATTGCAGTCGCCATCGCCACCATCGTCACCACCATCGGTACTCTCAGAATCGTGTCTACTGTTGTCGGCGTCGCTATGATGCCGCGCCCGCGCAATCACCGACTCGCACGGAAGTGCCCGCTGGGAAGTGCCCAACTGTCAACGCCAACGCGGCCGCGCCTGTCGCGCAAAACTAGCTGGCCGCTGCGCGCGCGAGCATGCGCGGGCTAGCGCGGCCGCAGAGATGCACCGGCCAACGCCGAGCACTCATCGCAATCGCCGCCGCATGGGTTTTACAAACCAAGTTGCGGGCGGGTGGGATGTTTGCAAGGGCATGGAATGTGTCAACTCATTTTTTAATACCTTACACCAATTAGCTTGCACCACACAGGTTTCACACATAGCTTGCTTCGCATCGCTTGCACTGGACAACATATTGAATGGAGCCCACGCTGGTAAACATACCTAATAGCCTATATGACTATACATATACAGGCATTCAAGAATAGATCAGGGATGAAGGACCGAACGGTCATTAATTGTCCCTGGATGGGTGGCTGGAATGGGCATCCACGGCGCAGATTATGCTACATGTTATTGGTTGTTTGTTGTTGAACTCTCATGCTTGACAAATCCGCCGGCCCTGTCGGCGTGTGGAAGAGGCTTCTCCGTCTGTTCCCTCTTCGTCGTCGTCGTCGTCGTTCCTTCCCCTTTCCCCACAGCGTCGTTGCTTCTACCCCTCTCCCAGGGCCTCGTCCTGAAGCGTGTCAGTCCAAAGCGAAATTGAGCAACGTCGTAATTGAGTCGAAGGGAAGCCCCTTCCCTTTGATCCCTTCCCCGCCCGGGGGGGGGGGTCCCGTGGGGGGTCCCGGGGGGGGGTCCCGGGTTTTTGCGCCGCCCCCCCGGGGAACCCGGAGCCTAAAAAAGCTCCAGGACGGGCCAAGAGTGCCCCAAGAGGCCCCCAAGACGATCCAAGAGGGCCCCGAATCGCCGAATGATCTGTCCAAGACGCCTTGACGACCTCCAGACGGCCCAAAAGGCCTGCGAGACGCCCAAAGAGGCCTCCAGGACCGTTCCAACGAGAGCCCCAAGAGGCAAAAATCATGGATTTCCAATGCGTTTTTCAAGAATTTTGGTGTTCTCACCTCTTCCGCTTCCCCACGCGCCAAGACGGCCCAAGAGGCCCCCAAGGTCGCCCCGAGACGGCCCAAGAGGCCTCCAAGAGTCCCCAAACGGCCCAAGAGTGCCCCAAGACGGCCCAAGACGCCTCCAAAACGGCACAAGAGGCCCCCAAGACGGTTCCAAGAGAGTGCCCAGACGGGGGACCCGAACGGACATTTCGAGCCCTCAGCCCCGAGAAGCCCCCAAGAGGCCCCCAGGAAACCCAAAGAGGCCCCAAGAGGCTCCCAAGAGGCCCCCAAGCATCCCCCCAGAGGCCCCTGAGAGCGCTCGGAAGAAACCCCAAGAAGCACGTTTGAGGACTCAACCCACGTCAGCATCGTCGTCGTCGCTACCGCCGCCACCGCCGTCGTCGTTCCCCTTCAGGGTCGGCGGCACCGGCCGTAAGGCCTTCGCAATCATGGTTGCTGATCCCTCCGCCAGTGCATAAACTATTTCTAAGATTAAACTGTTTAAACTGCTCCTCCCGGTGCTCACCAAACTAGCTAGGCCCGTGGCCCCCGGGCTACAACAGCAACGTCTCACGCCTGATACTTCCTCGCATTCAATTTCAAATTCGCGCTCTCGCGCGGGACTTCCTCATGACTCATAATTCATGCAGGAATGGCGCTCTTGCGCGGGACTCCCTCGCAATACCTTCAACCGTCGCGCCTCCAATTCTCTGGAATCACGCTGCCGCTCTGGCTGTTCTCGCGATTTACGTGGAATCGCGCTATCGCTCGAGTCTCCCTCGCGATTCACGTTCACGGTTCGGCAACCCCCCTGCTCGACCTAGCCGCCCGGGCCCGCCGTCCCGACCAGCCCATCAGGGTCAACCCGCCCGATCTGCCCGTCTGGTTCTACCAAGTGTTTTCTGTTCCTAGCCCCCCTCATGCTGATCTCTCTCGTGCTCCATCCTTTTCCTTCTCTTCCCATGTTTTAGGACATGTGCCAACTGCGCGCGCAGGCAGGGAAGATATGCCCCCAAGGGGGGGAAGTCCAAGACGAAGAGGGCGGGTACCGAGGGGCTGGGATATACGCGTTGAAGGGCATGCGAGCGGATCAGAAGCAACAATATGAGAACGATTGTTGCTCTTGCTGTTCTTGAGGGGGCGATGTCTCACACCGTGCCCAGGTGCGTGACTGAAGTGGCACTCCGCCGCGCGCTTCCGCCGCCGTCGTCCTCGCCGGAAGCCAACCCGCGACCCGCCCAGGACCCGCCCACGACCCACCAGCGACCCACTGGCGACCCGCCCGCGACCCGCTGGCGCCCCGCTGGCGACCCACTGGCGACCCGCCACACGGCCAGGACGTCATATGCACCCCACCGCCACCGCGAGAGGCGCCGCCCCGCCGCTCGAGTAGGCACAACGCGCCCCGCTGCACCAGGGGGTCACGCCCAGGGCACGCCGCACGCCGCGACTCGTGGCCAGCCGCGCTCGCGAGGACACGCCCCTCGGGCAGGGTCCCGGGGGCTGCGCCCGCAGCGTTGCCGCCGCTGCCCCCCCCGCCGCCGCAGGAGCACTTCGAGCCCGCAGGTCGAGCAGGGCACGGCTGGACACGCCGCCCCCTGCGCGGCTGGGCCTCGTCGAGGAGGCCCTCAAAGTGCGGCCGCCGCCGCCGCCGCGGCAGCCACGGCCGAGGCCGCTGCGCCGCGTGCCGCGGCGTCGGGCGCCGCGCGCCGCCTCCCGAGGGGGCTGCAGCCGCTGCCGCCCCAGCGCGCAAGGGCGGGCGGCCTGCCTGCGCACCTCCGCGAAGGGGGAGGAGCAGGGATCGAACGGCGCCGCGTCGATGTCCAGCGGCCCGCTCCGCGACAGCCCGGCACCGCCTGGCCGCCGACGCCCAGTCCACCGCGCCCGAGAGGATCGTGGCCGCGCGACAGCCGTGCCGACCAGCAGCTCCGCAGTCGGCGATGCCACCCCGATCAATGCGCACGATTCTGCGACGGGTCTTGCGTGGACGTCCGCTCCGCCACCGCATGGCCCGCAGCTAGAAGCGCCGCGCTAGCCCGCAAACGACCCCCACGCTATACTGCCCTGAACGAGTCGGGAGCCGCCTTGCCGACGTCCACGCCAACCGTTTCCGCGCGAACTGCAGCGTGACGACGCCGCCTGTCGAGGCCACTCGACGTCCCACACGCAAGCGATGAAACGAGCGGTTATATAAGCCAACGCGCGCGCACCGAAAGTGAAGAAAAGAGGAAGAGCGGAGGGAGGAACAACGGAGCGGATGATGATGGATAGGCTGTTTATGGCACGGCGGCCATTCGCTCCTCGCCGCCCGGCTGGCTGTCCGGCCGGGCGGCACCTCTGACGCCCTGGGCTGCAGCCCCGGGGCGCTTCTGGCACGCAAGGCGGCCTCCAAGCCGAGCCGTGCAGGCCCAGCGGGCAGGCGAAGCCTGGGCGGGCGCGCGCGCCCAACCCACAAGGGGCGCCTTGAGCCTCTGGCTGCGGGGCCAGAATGGATGACCACGTGAGTGCCCCAGCTTCCGCTGCACCCACAGTCCAACAGATGGGCAGACTACATGAGCTCAAGCCAGCGAGCGTGCGCCCAAAGCGGCAGGGAGCAAGAAGAGCGGAGGGAGCAGCACGGGAGAGTACGAGTGTAGACATGCTGCTTGTGGCACAGCGGCCACGCGCTCCTCGCCGCCTGGCTGGCCATCCAGCCGGGCGGCACCTCCACTGAGTCCCCGGGCTGTAGCTGCAGCCCTGGAGCGCTTCTGGCGCGCAAGGTGGCCTCCAAGCACCCCCCGAGAACCCGCCTCGACGGCCAATGTCCCAAGTGAGCGGGAGCGAAGAAGCGAGGCCGGGCGCAAGTCCGAGATGGACCCGGCCCCGCACGATAAACAAGTGCTGCAGGCGAACGAGCGGCGGAGGGCGACCCCTCCCGCGCGATCGCGACCGCGCCAGGCCCACGTGGGCGACGATCAAAGACGGGCCTTGCGCGAGATGACGCAGCTAGCGACCTCACGCGGTGGCTTAGGCGGGCCGCCGGCGCGGCACGCTACATTGGAAACGACGAAGGCGCTCACGCGCGACCTTACGCGAGCAGCTTGCGCACCAACGTCGGCGCAGGCGACCCCGTTTTGTTGCGTCGCTCACGTGAGTCCCGGAATGATCCTGACGACAAGCCCGCCCGCCTCCCCAGGAGGGCGACACCCAGCTGAGCCGGGCGCGCACAGTCGGGGCCTTGACCTAAGGAACCCTGAATAAGGAACGAGGCCCCTTTTTCCCATACCAAACGTCGATTCCCCATGGAAAACCTAAGGACAACCCAAGGCAAACTGTAAAACAATCAAGGAACACCGAGCCCCTCCCCAACGAAAAGGGTTCCTTCTCCAGCGCCCCGACTGTACAGCAGGCGGCGAGGGCGGAAAAGGTTGCTTGGGCTCCAGCGGCCGGAGGCGAAGCCACAGCCCCCGGCAGGTGGCGGCGGGCGCGCCGGGCCCACCCGCCGCCGAGGGGGAGGACCAGACGGCCGAAACCCACGCCCGCGGCGCGTCCCCCAAGCCGCACCCCCTCCAAGGGGCGAAGCGGGCGGCGCGGCCACGCGAGAGGGGGGCGTCGCACGGTGAGCACGCCGCCAGGCCCAGGCCACGCCCATAGAGAGCAGCGACGACCCACCACTCGGGCTCCCCCAGGCCCCAGAGCAGGCTGGCACATCATCGCGTGCCAAAGCCCGCGGGGCCCAGCTGAACGAGCACGGCAGCCGCGGCGAGCAGCCTGGCCCTGCAGCCTGCCGAGCGAAGACCTGCTGCGCGGGCCGCCACGCCCCACGCGGGGTCCGCCGAGGCGCTAAGTTGAACGACCACCGTGGGGGGCCGCCAAGGAAAGAACGGCTGAGCGAGCTGCCGTGCCCCGCGCGGGGTCGGCCGAGGCGCTATGAAAGAAGGACCACCGTGGGGGCGAGGGCCGCGTCCGCGGTCGAGGGGGCGCCGCGCCGAGGGGCCAGGCGCGAAGCGGCGGCGACGCCTGCACGCAAAAAAAGAGAGGCCCGTGGGCGGCGCAGGCGAGGAGCGCCCACGAGGCTGGCCGCGCAGCGCTGCCGCGGGCGGCGGGGCCGACCGCGCCGACGCCGGTCCGCGCAGCCACCGCCCGCGCAGAAACCGCAGGGGCGCGGAGCGGCAAGCCCGGCCAGGACCCGCCCAGGGCGGCGCCACCCAGCCAGGAGCTGGGCGCGCAGGGCGGCAGCGCGCACGGCGGGCGCGGGCCAGAGCACAAGCCGAGGGGCCAGCCCGAGCGGGCGGCGAGGGGGCCAGGAAGCGGGCGCGTGGGACCCCGTCCCGAACGGGCTCCGCTGCCGACCAGGCCCCGGGGCGTCCAGAAAACAAGGTATGGTGCTCATCCACTCGCCGCACACCAGGGGCGAGTCCCGCAGTCATCCCAAGCCTGGTCTAATTTTTTTCCAGCGCGCGGCAACAGCGACCTGGGCCAGAATGGCTACGGAGACGGGGCGGGAGACGGTGCGGAGGAGAAGGGAAGGAGCAGGGCTTGCAGCACTCCTCAGAAGGGGTCGGGACGGCGCGCGAGGTAATCTCGTCATGCTTGACGCCCAGTCCACCATGCAGGCGTGTTGGCAAGTGGCGGGACCTCCTACTTCTACCCTTCCTCCCTCCTCCTCCTCCTCCTCCTCCTCCTCCTCCTCCTCCTCCTCCTCCTCCTCCTCCTCCTCCTCCTCTTCCTCCCCCTCCTCCTCCCCCAGACGCTTGAGCCGCGGAGCCCATGCCGACCTCTGGCCTCCGCTTCTGCGAGGACTGGTCGCCGCTGCCGCGCGCCAGCCCGACGCCCACCAGCATGCCGACGCCCAGCACCGCCAGCACCACGCCGACCACCCCAGCGAGGCGGAGCCTCGCAGAGAGGGGGGGGGGAGAAGGGGGAGGCAGCGGGCGGGGGAGAGCGGAGAGCGGTCTGCGCTCTCTCTCTCTCTCTCTCTCTTCTCTTTTTTTTTTTTCTCTCTCTCTCTCTCTCTCTCCCTCTCTCTCTCTCTCCTTTTTTTTGTTTCTCTCTCTCTCTCTCTCCCTCTCTCTCTCTCCCTCTCTCTCTCTGTCTCTCGCATCCACCTCTGGGGCTGGCCGCCTGAGGCCAACCTATGCAGCGGCGGATCTGGTTGACGGCATAGATCGAGGAGTCCTCCGATAACGAGGCCGCCACTTGGCAAGCGAGATGCACGCCACCAGCGGGGACGTGCAGGCGAGGGCGGAGCAAGCGCCAGGAGGGCGAGGGAAGAGGAACAGGGGCGCCATGAGGGCGGAGGCGGCGGGGGCGGATGTAAGGAACCGAACTTTATACACCGATGCTTTTTCCCGGTCCCGCACTGAGATTCGCACAAGAAAACGGATTATGGTGTATACGGAATCCTGGTGTATACATGTGTTGTTGTTTCCACGGTAAAACGGGGGAAACAAATATTCACCACACCACCCCAGCGTCGTCCTCGACCCTCAAGAAGCCCTAGGATTCAAGAACCGCCCGCCACTGGCACAGGAAGGAACAGAGGACGGAGGACGCGCCCCTGGAGTGCTCGTGCAAATCGCAGCGGGGCGTCCGTACAGGGCAGGCGCAGGCCCTCGCGCCGAGGCCCCGAGGGCCCCGGGCCCTCCTCCTCGTCGTCCAGCTCCCCCACTGATGCTCAACCAACCTCCTCCTTCACCTTCGTCTCGCCCGCTTCCACCTCCCCACCCATCCTCCTCATCATCTTCAAGCCCCTCCCCCACCTCCACATCCTCCTCCTCATCCTCCTCCTCATCATCATCACCACCACCACGACCACCATCATCATCATCATCAGCATCAGCAGCAGCAGCAGCATCATCAGCAGCATTAATCAACAGCATCATCATCCTCATCATCATCGTCATCATCAGCAGCATCAACATCGTCAGCAGCGTCAGCATCAGCATCAGCATCAGCATCAGCATCCCAATCCTTACTCTCCCTCTCTCTTCTCCCTCTTCTTCCTTATCCTCCTTATTCTCCTCCTCCACCGATGTCCTCCCTCCCTCCATGTATCCCCATATCAGTTCCCCTCCTCCTCCTCCTCCTCCTAATCCTCCTCCTCCTGCTCCTCCTCCTCCTCCTCCTCATCGTCATCATCATCATCACCACCACCATCGTCGCCAACATCATCATCATCATCCTCATCCTCCTCCTCCTCATCATCATCATCAGCATCAGCATCAGCATCATCAGCAGCAGCATCAGGATCATCATCATGATCATTATTAGTATCATCATCGTCATCAACATTGTCATCTGCATCATAATAATCATCAGCAGTATAAGCATCATCAGCAGCAGCATCAGGATCATCAGCAGCAGCAGCATCATCATCATCATCATCAGCATCATCATAACCACCACCACGACCACCACCATCATCATCATCATCATCATCATCATCATCATCATCATCATCATCAGAATCGTCATCATCCCCCTCCTTCTTATCACCCCCTCTGCCTTACAAACAACTCTGCCCCATCGAACCGCAAAACGTGTACGTAAGCCAGGATGGGCGTGTCGCTTGAGACGTCCGTCGGGATTGCTGCCCTGAGGCTGAAACAGAGCCATGGATGGAGGGCCTGTGCTTTTCAACATGCAGCTCTCGCCAGCGGGCCGCGCGCATGAGCTTGCAATCTCCCACGAGAGTTACAAAGAGGGAGAGCACACTCGTTTTCAGAGCTCGCAACGAACGCAAGGATAGCTGCCGGCTTCTTGTCTAGCCGTGCTGAGCCGCCGGTGTGGCTCTGGCGCAGGCCCAGCAGGGCGAGGTCCTGTGCGGCTTGGAGGTCGATGGGTGGACGTGCGCGGGTGGTGTTACCCCGCCAGTCCAGCGGGCACCAGGCAATGCTCGCCATGGCCCTGCCAGCAGTGTCGGCAGACCCATCGTGCAAGCTTTCGTCAGACCATCTCGTGCCCAGAGGCCGCCTCAAGCTGGGGTCCTCTCGCGCTGGCCTGTCGGGTTACTAGCCACGCCATCGGCACTCGTGTCGCTCGTCGTTGACGTGCCACTCGGTGTTGACGATGGTGGTGATTTATGACGATACTGGCCGTACTGCTTACGAGGATGCGCCAGCGGATGGCAGATGGCTCTCAAACTGGGTCGGACGGCAGCTAGCCACGACGACAGGCCGACATACCACAAGGGAGGTGCATGCCATGGCATCTGAAGACGAAAATCGAGCTGGCCCAGCATATCGAGAAGAGGCGGGGGAGCGATAGGAGGGGGAGCAGGAAGAAGAGGGGGCGCCTTCTTTCTCGGCCGCCATCTCCAGCCCGGCCGCCGGCGCCGTCGGCGGACCACTCGAAGGCCTGACCAGAGAGCTGACGGCTACGATCGTTCTGGATGCTGCCCCAGAGGCGCGATACTCGACATCTCATCCTTCTAGTCCTCCTCCACCCTCCTCCTCCTCCTCCTCCTCCTCCTCCTCCTCCTCCTCCTCCTCCTCCTCCTCCTCCTCCTCCTCCCCTCCTCCTACTTGGGTGGCATCCTATACATGTTTGAAGGGCCCTCCTGCCCCTCCTGCTACTTTGATGGTTTCCTGTACATGCAGACGCAGCAGCGCCGATCCCCCAAACGCCAATCCGCCCAATCACAGCATCGAGGCCCTCTCCATGCCTAATCCCCGTCTGGCTCGTGCAAGAGCGAAGCCGCGCGAGATCCCCGCCGCCGCACGTCAGGCCACGGCGAACATGTGTTGAAGAGACCTGCTGAAGGTGGGAGGACCCAACTCCGCGAGAGACTGCGCAAAAACAGAACCGTCTAACGCCCCATTGCAAATTCCAGCGTAGCGTTGACCAACATAGTCACCGCGTCCTCTGCTGAACCAGAGCCTATCCACGTGGCGGTGCTGAGCCGCGCACAAGCACTGCAGAAAGGTTTGACATCCGACAGGGACAGCTTGCTCCGAAATGGCAGCGACTACAGCGGGGTGACCAATACAAAGTCTTGATAAAAGCCGACGCTCACGAGCCAAACTGGCGAATCAAATTCAATCGATGCTGAATTATATGCGTCGGTATATAGATTATGGATCGTCGAGCAAAACTCAGCAACTTTGGCAGCTGACGGTCGTGCAAGAATATGGCAATCCCCTTGTACTGAATATCTCAAATAGCAAATTGCCTCCAGTTGTTGGGGCCCAGCGCGTTGCCAGCCTTGGGAATCATGACGTAGAACAAGTCGCATTTCGCTTGGGAAGACACCCGTGTGCACGACACCGTTCAGGCATGCAACGAGGACCGATTAAGAAAGCGGGCCAACATGGCATGGCGTGTACAGCTCGTTGATTAAACAATTCTGGCGGAACTCCATGTCTACCCACACAGAAGTCAGCAGCCACTGATGAGAGAACTGCCAACGTTTTTTCGAGCGAGATGTCGGAATACGTGTCAGGTTCGAGGGGGATTGGAGAAGCGGTGCGCAGGCTTCAAAAGAGTAGGCGGTCTTCAACACGGCGGCGAACAATTGCGGGTCAGATCGCATCGGGGCGTTCACCTTCACGGCGAAAGCTTCTTCAGCTCTGTAACGATCAACCGCCTTGGGATGCCTCTACTACAGTACACCTATATATACAAAGAGAACTCTGCATGTCCATTGGTCGTCTTCATCCTTCTCATCATCATCATCATCATCATCATCATCATCATCATCATCATCATCATCATCATCATCATCATCATCGTCGTCATCATCATCATCATCATCATCATCATCATGCTGCTCCTGCTTCTCCTGAGCCTCCTCAGCCTCCAGCATGCATTACGCAAGTCATTATATCATGCTGATCCTCCCGATTCTACCGGTTTCTCTCCTCCGCATCCCCCTGCTCCCGCTCTCCGCCGTCTAATCCGCTCTCGCCCCCCTCGTCAAACCGTTCACTCCTCCTCCCCCTCCTGCTCCTGCCACTGCCCCGCTCCAAACACTGAGCTTCGTCATGCTCTTCCCCCCCTTCTGTTCCACCTGCCCCTCCTCTGATCCTGCTGCTGCTGCTCCTCCTCCTCCTCCTCTTCCTCATCAGCATCATCATCATCCTCACCATCACCATCACCATTACTATCACCATCACCATCACCGTCAGCATCATCATCATCATCATCATCATCATCAGCATCATCATCATCATCAGCATCATCATCATCAGCATCATCATCATCATCAGCATCATCATCAGCATCATCATCATCAGCATCATCGTCATCCTCAGCACCATCATCATCATCATCATCATCAGCAGCATCATCTTCAGCAATATCATCAACAGCAGCATCATTATACTCCTCCTCAGCATCATCATCGTCATCATAAGCATCATCATCAGCATCCATGATTACCAGTTTCACTATCGGAATCATCATTGTCAACCTCAACGTCGTCGTCATCGTCGTCATCGTCATCGTCACCACCACCACCATCATCACCACAATAAGCTTCATCATCCTCGTCGTGGTCATCATCATCACCACCACCATCGTCATCATCATCATCATCATCATCATCATCATCATCATCATCAGCATCATCATCATAGTCAGCATCATCATCATCATCACCATCGTCGTCATCACTATCAACATCGTCATCAGCAGCAGCTTAATCATCATCAACAGCAGGATCATCATCGTTATTATAACAATCGTCGACGTCATCATCAGATTCAGCATCATCGTCATCATCATAACCACAATCACCATCAACATCAGCATCATCATCAGCATCATCCTCATCATCATCATCATCGCTGTCATCATCATCATCATCATCATCATCATCATCATCATCATCATCATCATCATCATCAGCATCGTCATCATGAGCATCATCCATAATTTCACCATCATCAGCAGCAGCAGAGAAACAGCAGTAACAGCATCATCGTCAACACTATCACCATCACCATCACCATCCTCCTCCTCCCTATCCCCTCCTCCTGGACTTACCCCTCCTCTCCCTCCTCTTCCCCTTCCTCCTCCTTCCTTGCATCCTGCCCGCAAGGCCTGGTAGCTCTGTCCACTCTGGCGGTTGCCCTGGAAGCCCTGGAAGAGCGACTGCACGGTTCGCATCGGCTCTCCACGATACTCGGCGGGCACGGGAGCCTGCGGGAGGGACGAGGGGCAAGAAGGAGCAGGAAGATGAGGAGCCTCCCTCCTCAAACCCTTCTTCATCCTCCTCTTGTCCTCCCTCTCCTTACTCTCCCCCCGCGACCCTCTTCACACCTTCCGCCTCCCCGCCCCCTCCTCCTCCTCCTCCTCCTCCGGGCCTTCCCCCCTCCCCACTCACGAGAGACGCCCAGAGAACGGTTGCCTCTGCCGCGCGCCCAGGGGGGAAGGGCGAGGGGGCGGGCCTGAGAGGGCAAGTCACAGAGACGAGGGCTTCGGAGAAGATCCGTCGCCCTCCGAGAAGCCCCGCCCCCCCCCCTCGGCCTCCCCCCCCCGGCGCGTCGCCGACGGCAGGCACCTCAGCTGGATCCTGCCAGCGTGCCCCCCTGGCTGGCAGAGCCCTCGGGTGGCGTGCTGCACCATGGTCACCAGAGCTGCTTGGCTGGGCGGATAGTTCTGGCCCTCTCGCCTCCTCGCAACTTCGGGAAGAGAGCTCTATACAGCGACGCTTGTTCCTGGCCCTGCACTGACATTTGCCCAGGAACGCGGATCCTGGTGTATGCGGGATCCTGGCGGATAAATGTTTTGCTGGTTCCCCTGGAAGCGGAAACAAGAAGCATGCACCAAAACATCCCGCCAAGGGTCACGTAGATGTTCCAGTTTTCGATAACTGACTCGCCGCGCCGCCCAACCGGCCTATTCCCAGCGGCCCTGACGACCCCCAAAACTGGCGAAGACGCCCCCGGCTCAGGACGGCTAAGATAGCCCCAGGAGAGCCGCGAGCAGTCTTCCACACGGCCCATCAGCATCCCCAAAGTGCCCCGAGAGAGCCCGAAGGAGCCCGAAAGGCTTCCGCGAGGCTCCCTGGGACTCCGCAGAAGATCCCCTCCTCATCCTCATCCCCCTCCCCCTCCTCCTCCTCCTCCTCCTCCTCCTCCTCCTCCTCCTCCTTCCTCCTCCTCCTCCTCCTCCTCCTCCGCCTCCTCCTCCTCCTCCACCTCCTCCTCCTCCTCCTCCTCCTCCTCCTCCTCCTCCTCCTCCTCCTCCTCCTCCTCCTCCTCCCCCCGACGTGACGTACACAACTGCCCATGTTGCAGCTGTCTCCGGGCTGGAAAAGCCATGCATCAAATGATACGGAACTCGGGGTCCCCGAGGAGCCGTGTCATCTGATACAGGCCTGTGGGCCCCGAGGGAAACCGATGTCACATGTCACGCCGATCTGGGGCCCAGAGGAATCATCGTCGCATGCTACGGGCCGCTCTCGCCGGTCTCGGGGGATACCCATCATCTCGTTGTACTACTGCTCTCGAGCTGCAAAAGCGTCCTGCCACGCAATATGGCCCTGTGGGGAAGAGATGTCGGAGCATGCTGCGGAGAGACTAGTGGATAAGGAACCATTGAATAAAGGATCCAGGGTCTGGAAGCCCATTGAACACCAATTGAGGCTGGGCCCTGGATATCACCGCCGCCCTCATCAAATAACTAACGACCCACGGCCTGAAATCTCATGGGCACATTCCGTAACGAACACCCCCACCGTACGGCACTGTGAGCCCTGAAGGAGACAACTGTCACATGATAATATGGCTTTTTCGTGGATTTGGAGTCCAGGGAGCAGCTGTGTCAACTGGCACGGCGTTGGCTGCCGCAAGCACTCACCCATCAGCACCATGCCCGAACCCTCCTGCCTGTGATCCCACTCATCGTCCAAACCTTCCCTCCTCTACCTCCTCGCCCAACCCGTCCTCCTCTCCATCCTCCCCGCACTCGTCCTTCTCCTCCCTCCTCCCTCTTCTTCCTCCTGCCCCTCCGCCTCTCTTGACTCCAGTTGCCTCTGGGCTGCCACGTCTCTCACCCAGCCGAGCACCGCAAGGATGCAGGCAGCACAACTTGCCGGGGCTAGCGCACGGGGCCTCCCCACAGCCCTTGAGCCTGGACGGCCCTGGCGGTGCTGCCAATGGCGCGCGCGAGCGGCACAATTAACTGGTCTGCTTCGGCCAAATCGTGAACCCATCCGGCAATCTGACGTTCATTCTGTGGGCATCGCCCAGGAAATGGGGCTGCGCTACCTCGGGGGAAGCCCCATTGCTCCACGAGCATGCTGCCACCAGGGCCCTGACCGCATTCGATCAGCAAACAAAATACCATAATCCCCTCCACTGCGAATGAGACTGGGAGGGGCGGGGGGAACGTCGGCAATTTGCGACGCTCGAAAACACATGTCAGGCCTGGGGCCGGCTTTTCGACTATTACACAAGAAATCCGCCACAAGTGCTCATATTTTTCCAAGAACGATGTGGGTGAGTCGCCGGTGGGTCGCTGAGCGGGTTGAGGGTGGTCGCGTGGCCAACAAGAGGAATGAGAAGACGAACATGGATTCGCACCACGGAGCCGAAATTGAGCCACGCTCCCAGGGGCACTGTAACATCGGTCGCCCCTCATCACTCTGATCTTGAGCTGGCTCCACAACATGAGTATTCCATGCATTTTATCCGCGCTTGCAACTAAACTATGTCACGCGTTGAGGTAATCCAACCCCTCCGCGTCCGAGGGTGAAGCTTACCACTTCAGCGTGCCTGCCATCGGACGATGAAGGATTAAACGTAAGGTGCACAAGCATTCCCGTTGGACCCTTGTGTATGCCACGCATGTGGGCTGTTCGCACGAGCGCCTGCCCACCAGCGACGTGTGTACAGATGTTTGTAAGGCATATGTGTATGTACTGTGTATGTGTATGTGTGTATATGTGTTCACATTTGCATATGGATTTACATGTATGTGTGTATACACATCTGTAAAGATATCTATATGTGTGTGTAGAGAGAGAGGGAGAGAGAAAACAAGAAGAAAGAGAGATTGAGAGAGACACACAACAATAACAGAGAGAGAGAGAAAGAGAGAGCCACACACACCACACACACAGAGGGACAGAGGCACAACTAGACAGAAAGAGCGACAGATAAAGAGAGAGAGAGAGAGAGAAGGAGATATAGAGAGAAAGAGAAACCCTTTCGGCAGAAGACCCTAATCGTGTTCACGCAATTACGCTATGGGCCACACTGGGGGGCCATGCGGGGAGGCCACGCCGGGGGGATCCGGATCAGGATAACGAAGTAAGGATAGGGAGGCAGGGCTAGGGATACAGGAATAGTAACATGGGGACAGGGAGTGGCATGGCGATGCAGGATGGGGATTTTGCAAGGACAGGGAGAAGCACAGGGACAGAACGATGCGGATATATGGACAGCAGTGGGAGGCCACGCGAGGCGACGGGAGGCCTGCTGCCACGGGAGGCCACCGGGGGGCAACCGCGAGGCAGGGCGCGGGCATGGGATGGCAGCGGGAGGCCACGGGAGGCACCGTCGCACCGCCCGAAGTGATCATTAGCGGCGCGCAGAGGGGGGTAGAAGGAGGGGGGAAGGCTTCTTAGAAGCACCCCTGCTTCTTAGAAGGCCCCAGCCTTACGTCTATAGAGAAGGCCAGCGCCTTCTAAGAAGCAGGGGTGTTTCTAAGAAGCCTTCCACCCTCCTACCCCCCTCTGCGCGTGGCCGAGATCAGCTCCTTCATAAAACTTGTGCAGGACTCGGGTCGGGCGACAGGGGGGGGATAGCAAAGGGGGGGGTGGAGAATCAGCTCGCGCAGCTGATTTTCCCTGCGCCTCCCGGCGCCGGGAGGCGCCCATTTATCGAGGAATGGGCCCGGCGGCGGGGCCGAAACCAGCTGAATGCAGCAGATTTCGTGCCCCCCCCTTTCCCAATTCTCCCCTTTCGTCCGGCCCGAAGGACCCTTGAACACAACCTGTTGAGGGGAGAGCCTGGCAGAAATCACAACCCGATCCAAGTCAATTGCGAGCAGCGCATGACCCGACCTTCCGCCCTGGGCGCCTGGCCGGCGAGCGCCTGCGACAACACAGAGGGCAGCGGCGGGAGGCGCGGCGCCGGCGGCGGCACGAGAAAGCTGCCAGCAGACGCCGGCCTGCAGTTGCAGGCCCGTCGGGGCCCACAGGGATGGGGGGCAACGGCAGCGCTTTCTGGAGGCGCTGTGGCGGGTCGCGCTGTCGCCGCGCAGCGAGGTGCGGGGGGCGGCATCGGTTCGCAGCGTCGCCAGTTGCGACGCGGAGGTCGGCGCGCGCGAGATAGGCGGGGCACTGGACCTAGAGGCTACTCGTATGTAGACTCTGGCGCGTGCGATTGCGTGGAGGGGGGTCGGGGGGGGGCGGGGCGAGGCTCTGACGGAAATTGGGGCTTCACCCAAAACGGGTTTCACCTGGGCGCCTTTTCTGCCAAGCGCTGTCTCGAACGGCAACGACAGAGACAATGGGGGGGAGAGGGGGCGGGACTGGCTGGGGAGCGGCGGGGGGGGATATTTTTCAAGTGGAACTGCATGAGCCTAACGCCCTCCTGTTGCTGCTCCGCGGGACGCGGGACTCGAATGCGCGACTGGACGCGACGAAAACAAAACCAGGATCAACGCGCGCGAAAAACGCGCGCGGTGGCAGCGGCCTCACTGCGCAGCGAAACGTCGGCAGCCAAGTTGGACACCTACGTGATACCCTACAACAGCGGGACAAGCACGCGCGGAAACGGCAAGCGGCGGCAGCGGGCCCCGTCGCTGATCAGAGAGATGCCGGCTGCAAGATGGGGCCCCGACGCGATCCGTTTCGTGAAACGCTGGGGCCACTGCGCGCGAGGAGGGCGAGCAGCAGCAGCGGGCCCTGCCGCTGCCTAGCAAAGTCGGCCGCAAAACGGGACCCCGACTTGCTCAGCGACAGCGGCGGGGCCACAGCGCGCGAGCAGCGCGAGCAGCAGGACTGGGGCCCCGTCGCCGCCCGGGGAGGCGTCGAGAGCGCAATCGGAGCCCGGCGCCGCCACCTACAGACTCAGGACCGGCGCGCGCGAGGAAGACGAGCAGCGGCAGTGGAACGCTCTGCTGCTCGGAGAGGTGAGCGCTGCGAGGTTAAGGCAGAACGCGGCCGGCTACATGGCGCGGATCGCGGCGCGGGCGCGGCTGCGCTGGCAGAAGTTCCCGCGGGCCGCCGCCTCACGCGGGCGCTCGTGCACCTGAGTGGGGCCTCCTGTGCAACCGTCCCATTGTGGCCCTTGCGCCAGCATTTAGGAAGCCCACAAAGGACGTACGCGCCCAGCTATGCGCATGAACACGGCCCCTCGATCTGCGAGACCGGCCGCGTGATGCGAACTTTCGGGCAATGCGTACTCTCGAACCAGCGTGGATTCATGTTCGTGTACGTCCTTCTTTCGCTCCTGAGCATGCGCCGATCCACGATCGGGCCCGCTCGTTGTGCGCAGCGCCTCGCCCCCCCCCAGCCTGCGCCATGAGCCTGCGGGATGGCATCCGCCCAGGACGCCCCGGGGAACCTCCGCAGCGCAGCGGCGCTGCAGGCGCGCGTGGGCCCCTCCCAGCAGAGGGGGGCCGGCGACCTCCTCTCCTGAGGCTTGGCCCAGGTGGTTCGCGCCCAGGCCAGGGGCGCGCAGGCCCCCCCAATGTGGCGAGAAGTGGGCCTTTGAAATACTTGCTCTGTTCAGCGCCATGCTCTTGGGGGCGTTTCAAGCGGGCGCCCGGGGGCCCGACTGGCTCCTGCTGGACGACTTCCCCGAGCAGGACCGCCGGCGCGTCAGTCTCCATGGGTTGTTGGGCCCTGTCTTCGTCTTCGGCTGCGGCGCTGACCAGGGCCGCCGCTTCTCGACCCCCGATTTCAACGCTCGCGAGGCGGCGTCAGTCCTGCCCCGAGGCTGAGCCACCGTTGCCTCTCCAATCGCTCGCCTGGAGGCGTTGGAGGCGTCTCCGCCTGCGGCTGTCCACCTCCCCCTGCGGGGGGGCCTTCCGGCGGCCGAACTCGCGCGGGGGGCGGCGCGCGCTGCGGGGGCGGGAACGCAGCGCCCGCGCGCGCGCGGCCCTCCGGGGGCTGCCGTAGCTGGCGGAGCGGGCGGCAGCTGCGCAGCACTCAGGGTCGGGTTTCTTGCCGCCCCCCCAGTTCGTCGGTGACCTTGCAGCCCAACGCCGTTCGGAGGGCGCGGTCCGCGGCGCCGCGGGCGACGAGCCGCCCGCGGCGCGCAATCGGCGCGCCCGCCGGGCCAAGGCGCGCATCAATATTGTGGCCCCGTTGCCGCTGCCGGATGCACCGGCCCCGGTCGGCGCCCGCCGCCTGGCGGTCAGCTCCAAAGGAGGCTTCTCAGCGCCATGGCATCGCTTTTCAACCCTTGTCGCGCGAGTGCATTGTCCGCGGCCAGTCTAGTTGATCAACTCCTCTCCGCGGCCGTGGCTGGCGTTTTTTTTTCGACCCTGGCGGCCGCGGCCGAGGCGCGCCCGGGGTGACTTGCGCCACCCCCTTGGCAGGAGCCCCAGGGGCCAAAGAGGCTCTGAACGCGCGCCAGGGTGTCCCGGCGAGGAAGCTGCTGGGCTGCCGCCGGGGCCCGCCCCTGCGCCATAATACCCCGGTGGCGTAGCGCGGCTGGCCTCTGCGCCTGGGCGCGAGGTTCGTGGAGCTGGCCTGCGCCCGGTTCGATGCGCCCCCTCCATCGCGGGCGCTGCAGCTGCGGCCATTCCGGTTAAAGTCCTGGCTCGCGGACCCCTCCCCCGCTGCCGCCCATCACCGAGCGCCCTGCCTTTGCGGGGGCCCTGCCGGGCGCGGTGAGGCGCCGCGGCGACGCGGGCTCTCCTGCAGGCGCGCACGCGGAAAGTCCTGCGGCCAGCGGTGCTCGAGCGCGACCGCGCTGCCTGCGGGGAGGCCGCTGCGCCCCGGCTTGCGCCGCTAGGCGCTTCCTCTGCGCACCTCTGCCCCCGGTCCGTCTCGGCAGCTGCTGGACCTGCTGCAGGTCGAGCGCGGCCCGGCGCAGTGGGCCAGCCTCCGCACCTCGGCGCTCACGCGGATGAGTGGCGCCTGGTCCTTGCCTGTTTTCGGCGGGGCGGCGCTTCCCTCTGCCGCGTTTGCGCCCATGGCGCGGGGCAGTGCAAGCGTTGGTTCGGTGCGCATTGGCAGACTGCCTCGGTGCGGCGCCGGCGCATTCGGCTCTGGAAAAACCGGCCACCGCGCCTCCCCGCGAGGCCCCGGACTGGCTCATCATCTAGGGCGCCACGGTGGCCGACCGCGCGGCGCATCTTGCTTACGCAGGGGGCGCGATCCGCCCAGTCTGCCTGCGCGCCGTTCGCGACGCTGGCCTTATTCCGCCAGCCAAGGGGGTTCAGGCAAGTGGCCCGCCGGGCCCCGCGTTGCCGCAGTTTCCCACCCCGCGTCGACTGCCCCACCGCACGCGGTCAACTCCGCCCCGCGCGCGCTGGCCGCGTCGCCCGCGCAGCGACGAGCCCCTGGAGCCTGGGCGGCCCCCCGGAGGGAACCTGGGCGTCGTCCCCGGGGGGCCTGGGGGGGAGGCGTTCAGGCAATCTCAAATATCTCGAAGACACGGGGCCCGCCGGGGTGCCGGGCGCCCTGCGGGGCCCCCCAAGTGCGAAGCATCGCGAGCTAGGAGAATTCCCCGGTAGAAGGGCCCAACAGGAGACCGAAGGGGAGCCCGGCCTAAGAGGAAGAACGACCATCGAACGAAAACAAGCCCTCGATTGATGCAAGCCCAAGCTAGAAGACCAAGAGCGGCCCCCAAAGCGGCCGAGATGGCTGCAAGATGGGGCTTCAAGATGCTCAGAAGAAGGCCCGAAATAGCTTCAACATAGCCCCATTAAGGCCAGGAGATGGCTCCGATTTGGCCACCACCGCGTTCCAAGGTCTGCTCCAGGACACTGGATGCCCGGCTCCAGTTGGATCCCCCGAAGCCCGCGGAGGACGCTGCATCGCCCGAGCCTGAAACAACAACGCGCGCGTTCTGAGGCGGGGCCGACACGCGCCGCGGGGCGCCACCGCGCCGCGCCCGCGACGCACCGACTCCGCGACGCACCGATTCCAAGATGCGCCAGCGCGCCAGCTTCGCGACGCGCGAAAACGAAGGGGGCAACCAGAATGGACATACTCGACGCCGAGACGGGGAAGGAGTGGAGAGGCGGTGGGCTTCGACGGCCATAGCGGGGAGCACCGCGCCCCAGGGGCAGCTCACCCCGCTTCCTGCATCGTTTCCGCGTTTCTGATACCTGTCCTCTGTTGCCCACTGGCCCTGTTCCCACATGTCTTTTGCCCGCCCAAACAATCAGAATGGCCGCCCATTCCTTCCACCTCTCTTTCCGCTTCTTCGTTCTGTTCGCGAGCTGGGGGGCGCGCTCGAAGACGCCCGCGCACAGCGCGGGCGCTGTCCTCTGCAGCGCTCAAGTACGCCGAGACCCGACCGCGCGTTTCATCTCGGTGCCCGAGGAACTTTGGCGGAGGGCGATGGGCCCCGCGTTCCACCCCGCGGAAAACACACAGCGGGCCACCAAGGCGGGAAAACTGATATAACATATCCCGTTAAATGCACTCACGCGCGGGCCACTATACTGCTGCGAAACATGGAGCGAACATCTTCGCGCCGCGCCGAAAACTGACCCCAGTGCCCCTAAGGCGGCATCGTTGCTCGTCGTCCAGGTCAGACGCCTTCCTAGCGTAAGTTTCGCGCCCTCGGCCTGTCTTGGCCTTGGCGCCGTGCGTTGCTGTGGCGCGGAAATACTCCAATTTGTTATTCGGCGCGTCCGCTAAGCGAATCTAGCCCCGCGCTTTGACCCGTGCCGCCTTCTCCAGCTGGCAAGAGGAAGCGTCGCCAGATGCACTCGAACTCGTACAGATAATATCGGGCGCGGCCAAACCGACCCCTAGCAAACCATACCCTTGCGTAGCGAGTTTTGCGTTTTCGAAGTCAATGCGGTCCGCGCGTGCGTTGGCTGCAGACTCGAGCAAAACGAATTGCCCACGCGCGAAGCGCTCTCGGGGCACGACCGGCGCCGCCCCAAAGGAATTCGCAAACAGAAGTCATGAAGTGCAGCAAGTGTGCCGCGCAGCTTCCTCGATCGAGTCGGAATGCGTGCTTGTTTGGCGGAGTTGGCGAAGGAGCAATGGGAGCATCGCTGCCATTCTTGCGCGTGCGTCTACAATGTTTTCAGATGCGGCACCATCGCATCTGCATCTTGTGGCGCGAGCGGCTTCGCAACTAGAGGAAGCATATGATTGCCCGCTGACACTTTTCGGTGCTACTGTTGACTCGATCATCTTAACCACTCGCGTGCGTTGTGTTTGTCTCAGAATCAATGATCGACAGTGGCCCCTCGCGGAAATTGCAATTGCAGGGATTTGACAACAACTCGCCGTCGATTTCGGCTGACGCCCGGGGCCCCGCTTTCCTAGGTTACCGAGAATGTTAGGATATGCGGGGTTGCCAGACGATTGATGCTGGCGGTCGGACTCCGGAGCTCGCGGTTTCCCTCGAGCGAGCTGGGCGAGCCCCCCCCCCCCCCCGAAGCCGCAACGAGGCTCCGAAAAAAAATGTCTTCTGAGGCCCCCAAAAGAGCTCCGAGAGGGCTCCAGGCCGACCCCCAGTGGGCCCCAGGTCAAGGTGCACGGTGCATCATGCAACCGCAATGGCATGGCGGGGGACGTTGTTGTTGAGCACGACGCCGCGCCGTGGGGCAAACGGCAATGCATGCCGCGTCGAGGAAAACCTGACCCCCTTGCTTCAAGGGAGCACGCGGAAACAATACGACGAAAAAGTGTGCGTGCAAATGTCGCTTGCAGGAGCCTCCTTGGGACTCTCTCGGGGTTCTCTCGGGGCATCCTCGGGGCTTCAGGACAGCCCCAGCGCGGCCCAAGACGGCTCCAAGAGGGCACCGGCGTGGCCCACGCAACGGCCCAAACTCATGTCGCACCATGCATCCTGATGCGGGCCCTCCAAACATGTATTTGGGCCCCTTCTGATGGGTGCCCTCTGGGGCGTTCTTTGGGGCCCTCAATGGGTTCGAGGGGGCTGTGGGTGGGCCTCGGGGAGACCCCCAGAGGGGCTCCAGGAGGACCCCGGATGGATCCCCAGATAGCCCAGAGCCAAAAAGCATTTTGAATATTGGATTTGGGCCCTCTTGGGGGGTAACTAAGCCGTATTAGCGAGTTCTCGGCGACACGGGCTCCCTCCGGCTTCGGGCGGGTTTCAGGAAGTCCCGGAGAATGCCCCCACAGGGCATCAAGTGGACCCCGAGACATTCCTGAATCAGGATGCAGCGTGCGTCCTACCTTTGGATTTTCTTGGGGTCCAGGCGGGGCTCTCCCGAGGTCCTCTTGTGGGCCTCACGGGGCCCACTTGGGGCTCCCTTGAGCCCTCAGGCAGGCTTCCAGAAATTGTTGGCGTTCCGCGTATCCCCACCAGCCCGTCCAACAAATCACCAGGCGACTTGCCCTGATCATCAGGAGGAGCGATGAGGGTGAAGGGATGAGCCAGGAGGGAGGGGTGATATACAATAGCAGTCGAATACGAGAGCGGTCATGGACAGCAGTGTTCATATACGCACGTGGTCGTGCACAAGAAGCCTTCTTGGGCATCTCTTGGGCCCCCTTGGGGCCCTCGTGGGGCTCGCCGAGGGCCGTCTTGAGGCCCTCTAGGGGCCCTCTTGGGGCATTGCCCGGGCCCTCCAGGGCCTTCCAGTGCGATCCGGAGGGCTTCAAGCGGGCTCAAGACGGTTCCAAGAGAGCTTCAAAGTTTGTCAATATATTTGAAATCTGGAGGCCCTCCAGAGGCTTTCTTGGAGCCCTCTTGAGGCCCTCCGAGATTGCATTGGAAGGCCTGGAGGGCCCCGAGAGGGCCCCCCCGAGGGCCCCCGACCAAAAAACCTCCGGGGGGGGCGTCGTCACGGTAGCCTCCGGTTTGGGCGCCCCCTCGTCACGGAAGCCTCCGGTTTAGGTTGCGCCTGGGGCCCCCCCGAGCTCGTCACGGAAGCCTCCGGTTTAGGCACAAATCGGGAAACAAGACAGACGGGCGGGGGTCCCGGGGGGGGTCGTCACGGAAGCCTCCGGTTTGGGGCGCGCCCAAATCATACCCTACCGTGACGAGCTCCGGGTCCACACTTTCGAAATTTTCACTCGGGGATCCGCCCCGGGCGAGCCCCAAAAGACAGTCGCGCGGCCCCCGCGAGCCGCGCGAGTGCAGTTTGGGCCTCGCTGGGGGGCGGAGGGCAAGGTTTTGTCGCAGGTGCCGCGGGAGTCCAGGCCGGCTGGTCTTTCCCGATCTTCTCCCCGTTACTCCGCCGCCATCCTCTCCTCCTTCCTTACTCCTTCGTGTCTCTCCCTCCCTCGCCGTCCCTCGCCACTCTTCCCTTGCTCTTCACTTTGGCCTCTCGCCATCTCCCTCTTTCCATTCTGTCCACTTCTCCGCTGTCCTAACAACATTCCCACCTTCTCTGTCTCTCCTCCTTGCCCTCTTTTCCTCCCCCCGCTTTCCTCGCTTTTCCTCGCCCCCTCCCCCCCGAATGCCCCTTCCCTCCCATCCCTCCCCCCTCGCATTAGCTCCCCTCGCCCGCGTCGCCCTTGCCCTCGTTTCTTCCTCTCCTTCCCTGCCCCCGGCATTCCTTCCCTCCCCCGCTCCCCCCGTATCTCTCCTACCTCCTCTGGCTCCCCTCCCACGCCCCCCTCCCTGTGTGCGTCTTTCGCCCTGTCTCCCTTCCCCCCCTTTTCTCCCCTCCCCCCTCCCCCCTTCCCTCCCCCCTCCCTCCCTTAGTTCCCTCGCCTGGCGACGCGCTGCACAATGCACTCCGCCGCGAGGGCGAGCTGGGCCAGGGGTCGAGGAGGAGGGGGGCAGAGGAGGGGGAAGTTGAGAGAGGGTGGGGAGGGGGGGGGCGAACGGGGGCGGCAGGGGAGGGAAGGATATATAAAATATGTGGACGGGATATCAGGCGGAAGTGGAGGGATGGGGGTTACACGTGTGGTTTGTGCGGCATGTGCTGGCATGTTGCACCCAGGCATAATATTGGTTCCCAATATTTGCAACTCATTGCCTCAATATGTGCAACGTACTGTGGTGCGTCTGTGGGGATGCGTGGCCAATGCCTTGAAACGTCCGCAGTCTTTCATGGGGCGCGTGAGCCTGGTCGTGCAGCACGTGCGTACTCATGCGCCTGGCTCGGCACCGGAGCCATACTTGCCAACGCAGACATGGGCGCTCTGTGATAGAGCCAAGTGTGGATCCTATGATATGTCTGTTTGTGCACTTTCGAGGCTCCTGATATGTAGCGGGCGCGCGCTGGCAAAACCCCTCCACCGGAGGACCGTCTCTTTGGGCCATCATCGGCTCGATTCGCCATCCCTGCACGCGTATGCGTACGTCAGGGTGGGTGACGTTTCACTTGCTCGTCCATATACAAAAGGCGTGGTGTTCCTTTGTCAAATTCCCGAAGTAGCGAACCGAATTATTTGAAATTCTGGTGTCGTGAGTGTGCCGATCACTTTTGAGAAATCGTTCAAGGTTTGCCAGGTATGTTGTAAGACTGTTCAAACCCTGGCGGTCGTACTTCACCGCGCGCAAAGCATGCGACTGCTTCGTTGGGATATGTTCGTTTTGGGGGTGGTTGCGTTTTTTTCCTAGCCGCCCAGGTTCAGTGCGCGTTTCGGCTCACCGACATCATGTGCGCACCTTGGAGATCTGATTCGCATTAAGAAAGAGTTGCGCTACGCAGCGCAGGGCCGAGGCATGATATTTTGAATGATAAACGCCCGTGCCAGCGCAGACGTGTCGCTCTGGCCGGCCACCGTTGGTCACGCCATTCGAAGGCAGCGCGTGGATTTCGTGCGCCGTTGACGTTCCCCGATGACTGTCCTTGGGCCGTGCTCCTTATCTTGCGTCGTTTTTTCTGCCGGCCCGTCGTCGCGACTTCTGCCCGCGCTGGTGCTTTCGTTTATGTTCGTCCCCGAAGCGCTTGACTGGTGCAGTGGTTTCCAAAACGTCTCGATTTAGTTGTCTCTCCGCATGCCCCTGGGGCCGCGACCCGGTCTTGCGAGAGCGACGCTCTCAGGAAGGATCTCATTCGCTCCCTGTGTTTGCGCACTTCCGCCTTCTTTGAAAAAAGGGTATGGTTTGGTAGGGGTCGGTTTGGCCGCCCCTGATAATAAGGTGCCCTTTGTCGCTTGCCTTTCTCGACGTCTCGTTTGTCGCGTGCATAATGCTGCTGCTGGGTTTCTCTCCGGGCCCTGGCCCCCGGGCGTCGCCTCGACTCTCCGTCGAGCCATTTTCTTTCGAGGGGGGACTTGCGGCACAGGGCCCCGTCGCCGCGCGCACGTGGAGCCATTCTTGTTTCACAGTATCGTCGCATGAAGACAGAATCGTTTGAACTCCAATTCAGCGATCACCCCCCCTCCGAAACGCTCCGCCGATCAGCCGCGGAACGACGCCCGCCCCGCCGCCCGCGCGCGCGCCGCCAGTCGCCCAGAAACGACTCAGAAAAGGATCAAAACAATGGAAATCACGCACGCAGGCGCGGCATCAGCCAACGCGAACGAGCCGTTGAACAGCCGGCGCGAAAACAAACAACATTGCTTTTCTGCCCGCCCGGCACACAAGATTTAGCCACACGTTTATAAACTTGCTGCGCGGGCTGGCCATTTTGGCCGGCCACTTCGGCCCCGCCTCCTTCGGCGCCGCATCTCCTTGCCCTGCCCTCTCGGCAGTGTGGCGCAGATAATTATCCTGGGCGGAGACCCCGTGCAGTCCGACATCGTCGCGTGCGCATCGGCTCGGCTGACCGCGCCCCCCCAAAAAAACATTGCCGCTGGATGGCGACAGAGCTTGCGCCGCGAAGCGCGGCCGAACGCGAGGTCCGGGGGGGTCGCGCAGCTTCTCGCGCCTCCAGGGAACTGCTAGCGGCGAACAATTCATCGACTGGGGCGTGCCGCTCAATCGCCTGTCCGTTCTTTCGGTGAAGAAGCACACTGCTTCCCCTGCTTTGCAAGTGCGCGGATGGCGGGTCGTTGCGCGCAGGCGCGTGGAAATTGACGCCCCGCCCCTCTCGCCCCTCCACGCGCTCTCGCCCCCCCCGCCCGGCACAAATCAACCGACAGAAACGCGCCGCGCCCCCGCCGGGCGCCGCCATTCCTCTGACGGGGCCAGAGGAGGGCCCCCAGGCCCGGCACCTCTTCTGGGCGCCGCGAGAAGACGGCCAGGGGCGGGGCCAGAGGCCGAGACGGAGGAGCAAAGGCTGCGGCCGCCGCCCGAGGCCGCCGCGGCGCACCCAGCAGCGGCGGGCGCTGGGGCTCGCGCGGGCGCCGGCGCGGAGGAAGGCGGCGGCGGCGGCTGGCGGCGGCGGGCCAGCGGCAGCAGCTGAGCCCGCGACTGCAGGAGCGGCCCGCAGCGGCGGGGCTAGCCTTTGCGATGTTATTTTGTCGATTTCATGCTCGGGAATCTTTAGTTTCATAGCGCACATCCTCTAGCTCTTTGTCTGTTTCCGTTCACTACAATAAACATGCATTGGCCTCGTTTTGGATGCGTCGGCACTGGCCCACGCGCCGCGACGACCAGCAGATTCCGGCCCTGTTCTTTTCAATGCCCCCAGCGTCAGAAATGATTTGCGTATAAAGATCCAGCAAAAATGATTCTCAACGCGCGCTCGGGGTGCCGTCTTGCTGGCGCGCCGACGCGGCCGTGGAGTTGTTCCACGACCTGGGCGGCCCTCGGCGCGCCCCCAAACAAAGAGCCCACCCGCGCGAGACACTGCGCGCGCACTGAGAAGGCGGTTCCAGAAGACCCCCTGCTTTCTATGCCCTGGCGCCGCCGTGGGGTCTGGAGCTCGCCTTTCACTCCGCGCGGTTGCTTTGGGCGCCGCCTCGCGCGGGAAGTGCCCGCGGGAGCGGATTCGCCGGGACTGGAACCCTATAGCGGGGAAATGCAATCGCGCGGTGCCCCGCGCTAGAGCCGGCGCATTTGAACTCAGGCAGGTCAGCGCCAGCCACGCTGGGAAGTGTTTCCCGAACAATGCGCGGGAGCCCCCGCAGCCACTCAGGTATGTCGCGCACTCCCCGTTCCAATCAAGGCGCCGCCCGCGCGACCCTGGTCGCGCGAAATATTGCGCGCGCTCGCAAAGTCAAGAATCTGGAAAATCATAATTTCCGCCCCGCCCCCGCCGACATCCAGCCCCAGCCCCGAAGCAAACGAGGTAGCTAGGGGGCCAGCTGCCGCTGCCAGCCACTCTCGCGCCAGGCCCGTCGTCGGTCTATTCCGCCGCTGGCCAGCGCGCCCCCCGGCAAGCGCAATGCCCCCCTGCTTCCCAGGCGCTCTTGTTTCCCTCACCGCACAAAAAACGCGATTCAACTAGGATTCGGAAACAGTTTTTGCTCCGAGGCGAAGGTGAACATCGGCGCAAATCCCAAGAGCCCTGCTGCCGCCAGGCGCTCTGAAGAGCGCAAAACACATCCGCCGCGTCCGCCGCCGCGCAAAAGGCAAGCAGCGGCCATGAAGACCCCGCTTTGCCCGCGGCCCACTCCCGAAAATCGCGCCGCAGGATTCCGACGCCCACGCTGACTGCCCTGCGCCTTTCGCGCAGCCCAGGGCGGCCCCGAGAACGCAACGAGATCTCCAGCGGCGGCCCAGCAATGGCCCGACGTGCCCCGAGGTACCTCCGAGGCCCAATAAAGGCCGTCAGCGAACGCACCATTAGATCCCTAGGGAGGGCCTGAGAGGCGAACAGCAGGTAAAACACTCGCCACGTCCACACTTTCACTGCCAGTGCTGCCTGGCCCCAGACCGCATCTGAGAAGCTTCAAAAAATATTCGGGGGCCGCCCAGATAACGCCCCGATGGCGCTCGAATGGGCGCGCGCCATGGGTGCCCCGACTGCTCGATGGCAAACCGAGACGGCCAAGAAAGCCACACAATCACCCCAGGGCGCGACCAGACCCAACGCTGATAAGACGGCCCCGAGACCTCCGACAGCCCTCGCCCTCCGGCAAGCCCGCGCTGCGCCCCCAGGAGGCTCCCCGTCGGACCCCAAGGGGACTTCGAAAAGGCCTCGCGCTGAGGCCCCGACGAGTTTTCAACGTGCTACTCCGATAATGAAAGGGGGAGGGGTGGGGGAGGGAGGCGAGCTAGATGCGCTCGCGTCATATCTGACGTCCTACCCCACCTTGCCCTCCCTCACCATGGCGCATATCTCCTCTCTTTCGCACAATCGAATGTGAAGCAGGGCAATAATCCCGCAAGGGTGCGTGACGCATTGTAGAGCACGGCTTAGCAGGGCGTAGAAGAGCACGACAAGGGCGCTGCATGTCGTAGCATAGCGCGGCGTTGCGCAATGAAGAAACGCATCGCAAAACATTGCATGGCAAAGAATGGCATGGCAGGAGGAGCTGGAGGAACAGGAGGAGCAGGAGCAGGAGGATGCAGATGAAGAGGGCGACTGCGAAGATGGTGGCTACTCATGTTTGCTGCGAGTGCTAGTCGCTAGTCGCGGCGCGGACGACGCTTCTAAACGCAAGCTTTGGCTGCAGTGGGAAAACTATGCGCTTGTCGACATGCGAGAGAACGCGTTTCACGGGCGCTTGCCTTGGGAACCTTCGGCGGCCCCCCCCCCCAAACACTCGGCACCGTCGATCAAAACCAGGGGGGCTCCCCTCCCCCCCGCCCCCCCCCTTCCCGAACCCTCCCCCCCCCTCCCAAGGGGGGGGGGTTCACAACCCCCTACCCCCCTCGGCCCGGCGCCGGCGCTGGCGGCCGCCAGCAGCGCCCACAGCGGGGACGCAGCGACGATGATCAGAGGCAGCCCAGGGGGGGGGGGGGGTTCAAACCGCCCCCCTCCCCTCGGCGCCGGTGCTGGCAGCGGTCAGCAGCGCCAGCGCTGCCGCCGGCGACGGCGGGGACGCAGCGACGATTACCACCACTACCACCAACACCACCACTACCACAACCACCACCACCGCCTCAACCCACCACCACCACCACCACCACCACCACCACTACCAGCAGCACGCAACCACAACCACAACCACCACCACAGCCACCACCACCACCACCACCACAACCACCACCGCAAGTCACCATCACCACCACCACAACGTCCACAAAAACCCATCACCACTACCACCACCACCACAATCTACCATACCACCACCACCACCGCACCACCACCACCACCGCCACCACCACCACCACAACAAACGTCCACAAACCAACGCCACCACCACAATCCACCACCACCACCGCAAACCACCACCACACCACCACAACCAACACCACCACCACAACTCACCATCACCACTACCACCATAAAAAACCCACCACCACTACCACCACCACCACCACCACAATCTACCACAACGCCGCCACCACCACTGCCACAACCACCACCACTACCAGCAGAACAAGCCACCACCACAAACCACCACACCACCACTAGCACCACCGCCACCACCACCACCACAAGCACCACCTCCACAAACCACTGCTGCAACCACAACCCACCACCACCACCACAAACCACCACCACACTACCACCAAACCACCACCACCACCACACCCCATCACCACCACCACCACCACCACCGCCACAAACCACCACCACACCACCACCAAACCACCACCACCACCACCACCACCCACCGCCGCAACCACCACCACCACCACAACAAACCACCACACCATCACCACCACCACCACAATTCCACCGCCGCCACCACCACCACAACAACCCACCACCACCTTCACCACCACCGTCGTCCTCGTCGACGCTCCCCGCCACCGCCGCCCGCCGCCGCAGGCGCTGGCGCTGGCCAAGAGATGGAAATCTTCGTCCCCGCCGCCGTCGCCAGCTGCCGCCGACCCAAGCGCAACGCCAGCCCGAGGAAAGGGGAAGCAGGGGGGGGAGAGCGACAACATGGGATATTCTATTGCTACTCTGCCTGCCTGCTTGGGTGGTTTGGATTTACAATCAGTTGAATGTAATGCTCCAAGGGCCTGGGCTTCTTGGGTCAATGCGCTGCCCGTTCTGCAACAGACGGCGCCCACGGAAACGATGCAGATTCGAGCAGACCTTAACCACGAAGACGGGCCTCAAACAAGATGCCTCCAAACGGTGGCGGACTGCAAATCACAATTGGAAGAGGCCGGCACGGTGGGACTTCCGACATGGGATGCTGCGGCTGCAGGGGTGGAACCGCCCCAACCGGATTACGACGCGGTTACTACGGAGTTCGACTACGGATGGCAATCGCACTTCTGTTCTCATTTAGAAGACCATCATGTGGAACATCACGTGCGACCTGCCAGCGATGCCGCTCGCCGTGCGATGCTGCTATCAACATCCGTAGGGGCGGCCAGCGCCTGGCTCTGAGCTGTCCCCTCGGACCCCGTGTACACAATGGACACCGTGCACTTTCAAGTGGCTGTGCGTCAGCGGTTACGGTGGCCCCTACCCCTGTCAAGGGGGAAAATGCTGTCGGACACGCCAGTGCCGCTTGGACCCCTCTGGGGGACCATGTAGCTTCTTGCCTGCGCTCAGGCCGTTTGAAACGACGCAGTACTCCTATCGAGCGTATGTGGGTGCAAATCATGCGGGAAACTGGGGCACGCGTGCGTGACAGAGTTAACATATGGGATACGGCGGTACCACAAATTGATCTGGCAGACGGCCGGCACATCGAAGAGGTCGCAACTGGACTGCCAGTGGCTAGGGGCGCCCCACTTGCAATCGATGCGACCATGGTTTCTCCACTGCATGCGGACGGCACCCCTTTGGACTGCGCAGATTCAACACCGGGGGTCGCGCTGGCCCGGGCGGGCCAGACTAAAAAATCCACTTGCCCGGAGCTCGTCGACAATCCAGTGCTGCTCTTGATAGTCGCGGCGATGGAGACCGGTGGCCGGTTGCACACCTCAGCGTCGGAGCTGCTGGAGAAAGCTGTTTTCGCCCGAGCTCGTTCTGAACCTCGTCCCCTCCAGAAGTCGGCTGCTCGAGCATGGCGCGCCCTTCTCGCCCCAGCGCGGGCCTTTTTCTCGCGCGCCCATCCGCCCGCCACCACCGCGCCGCACCGCCACCACCACCACCACCACCACCACCACCACCACCACAACCACCACCAGCACGAGCACCAGCACCAACACCACCACCACCAGCACCACCACCACCACCAGCACCACCACCACCACCATCACCACCACCACCACCACCACCACCACCACCACCACCACCACCACCACCACCACCACCACCACCACGACAACCACGCACACACGCACGCACGCACGCACGTGCACCACCACCCACTACGCACGCGCGCGCGGAGCCACAGGTCCGCTACGACACGCGTCCGCGGATAGAGAAAATCAGCGCCATGGTAAGGGATGGGAGGGAGGGGTAGGACGTCAGATGTGACGCGAGCGCACCTAGTTTGTCCTCCTCCTCCTCCTCCTTCCTCCTCCTCCTCCTCCTCCTCTTCCTTCTCCTCCTCTTCCTCCTCCTCCTCCTCCTCCTCCTCCTCCCCCTCCTCCTCCTCCTCCTCCTCCTCCTATATATATATATATTACCTATACGACCACCCTTCGGGTAATAAGGAGGTTCGGGGGGGGGAGGAACCAACGTCCCACTCGATCGGTCTCACTATCGATCTCACTATCGATCTCAGTATCGGTCTCGCTCGATCGATATCCCTCGAT